GGAGGAAATGGGATGAGTGATGTTCCTTTATGGGGGTTGCAACCAATGCATGAAACAAAATGTGTATGAATTGTTGAATGGAAAATTGATTTGCTCTATAAACCTTCACCCAGTTGAAAAGTAAAAAAAAAGAGAGAGAGAGTGCTCTAACCGTTAGACCTCTATCAAAACACTGTAATAAACAATGGAGAGATTCATCCACTTTTCTTCTATCTCCAGTATTGCACTTGACACATGCAAGTATGGAGGGTCTATGCCTGTAGTTTCTCCCTTTTCTTTACATGCAGGACTTTGAGCAAGTCAGTTAAGGCCTGTGAGTCTAGGTGTTTAATTGGTATGATATCTTTCTTGTTAACTCTATAGTGTTGTTATGGAAAACATTCATTTCTGCCTTGTCAAATAACTAGCTCTTGGGACCTCAGGCCAGATAAGTCTTTGGCTAGTCCAAAAGCTCTTGACTTGTTTAAACACAACTTAAGGCCTTTTGAGAGTTGATTGAGCAGACATCCACACAGTCAAACTGTAACCCATTCATAGCGATGCAAATAGAAATGACTTACGCATACATATTCTTTTTGTAATTGTGTCACACAAACTCCACTACCTTAAAATCGAAGACCTAGGCTCATACCCTAACTTCCTACTCTGTAGCCAAGGGACTTTGAGTAAGGCACTTAAACCCTAGGAGTTTCTTTATTCTCATACGTATAATAGAGATAATGATACATACTCCAAAGAAAAGAGTTCCTGGGTGGCTCAAAGAATTAAGCACGGCTTGGTAGTGTAGTGGTTACAAATCGGGCTGCTAACCTCAAGGTCGGTAGTTCAAAACTACCAGCTGTTCCGCAGGAGAAAGATGAGGCTTTCTGCTCCCATAAAGATTTGCAGTCTCAGAAACCCTCTCCAGGGTCGCTATGAGTTGGAACCGACTCCACGGTACTTAACAACAACAACAACAACTAACCAAAAGGTTACTGGTGATTCAACCCACCCATAGTTACCTTAGAAGAAAGGCTTGACAGTCTGCTTCTGACAGGTCACAGCCTTTAAACCCGTACAGAGAAGTTCTACTCTGCACACATGAAGCCACCATGGGTCAGAGTTAACTCAACAACACTGCCACTGGGAAATTGTGAATCGGCATTTCAGCAAGATGCTACAGCAGCATGACAATTTCTTGAACACTTGCTATGTGCCAGGTACTTTATGCTCTACTTATATTTATTAAGCATGTTATAATCTGTATCTTATTGATTGTTCACACTAACTGTAAGAAGTGACTGTGTTATGGGACTGAGGGCTCAGGACCATAGTCTCAGGGAAACCCCAGTCAACCGGTATAACATAGTCCACAAAGACAATGTTCTACATCCTGCTTGGGTGAATAATGTCTGGGATCTTGAAAGCTCATCAGTGGTCATCTAAGTTACAACTACTGGTCTATCCATGTGCAGAACACATAAGAGTGATGGAAATTGAAGATGCTTGGAATCAACTAGTCCAACAGACTATGGAACATGGAAACACCAGTCTCTATGATACTGAGACCAGAAGATGTAGATGGTGCCCAGCTACCACTACCAACTGCTCTGAAAGGGATCACATTAGAGAGTCCATGATAGAATGGGAGAAAATGTGGACCAAAACTCAAAATTGTTTAAAACAACAACAACAGGTTTACTGGTCAGAAAGACTGGAGGAAATGGAGACTACAGCCCTCAACCACCCTTCAGGTCTGGGAAGGAATTCACCCTCGTGGTCTAACTTTCAGTCAAGCAGTCTGTAGGTGTATATGGAGAACAAAATCACTAGTAAGGTATGCTCACCATGGAATTGTTGATCATTAAAAATCAAAAGGGCAACATTTTCCTAAGGATAACACTGAGAACAGATAGGAAGGTGGGGGAATGCAACTAGGATAGGCAAAGAGAGGAAGCAGGATAACTGTTGTTGCATGGATGGGAATATAATCATTGAGATGAAACAAAGTGCATGTTTCATTTAATGTAAAGCTGAGGATACTGTCTGTAAACCTTCACTCAATTCACACAAAAAGTTTAAAAAAGAAAAAAAAAAGATGAAGTGGGTGTGTTTTATAAGTAAGGCCGCTAGAGGGCACAGTGGCTAGGTCCCCTAACTAATTAGCATAGCTATGGAGGGTGGGCACTAATAGGTGCTCCTCCCTTCACTTTTCTAGGTTTTCACTATGATGAAGATTCCTGACAAAATAAAGAAATGAGCATACACTACTTACCGGTGGTTCATCCATTCCAAGTCGCCAGTATGTTGAATTACACAGTCTTTTTACAGTTTCAGGATCTTCTATATCATAATCTTTAGGAAAGGCTTCTCTGTCCCGCTGCCTTCAAAAAAAAAAAAAAAAAAAAAAATGTAGAGTTACAGTAAAGATTAAATCTCATTTGTCTTGTAATGCACTTAAAAACTTTCTACATTATGCAGTGAAAGGCCCTGTCTTTGTAACATTATTTTCATTGTAAATTGACTCGATTCATGATATATAAAGCATTTTCCAGATAGGAAAACTTACTATCTTACTCTGGTAGCGTAGTGGTTACGACTCGGGCTGCGAACCTCAAGGTCGCCAGTTCGAAACTACCAGCTGTTCCACAGGAGAAAGATGAGGCTTTCTGCTCCTGTAAAGATTTACAGCCTCAGAAACCCTGTGCAGGGTCGCTATGAGTCGGAACAGACTCCACGGTACTTAACAACAACAACAACATTTTCAAGTAATGATGAACCTACTTCCTAAATGCAATTAGTTCAAGAGATAAAACTAAGAATATTTCCAAAACAAGACTTGTCCAACATAATAACTTATTCTGTGGTTTCAATGAGCTGGAACTTATTTGATAATGTAGAATTGTCATTGCTCAAATTAGATTCTAAAATAAAACATGGCAACATCTTAAAAAGGCAACTTACCACTTAGAAATTCTTTCTACCATGAATTTTAATTACCACTTTCTTTTCTCAAAAAATGAGGATAGTGACGCATTTACTCACATTAATTTATAATCTGTGCTTCCTACTTTCAAACAGGACCTAAAGGAAGCTGACGATTAAACGACGCTTTAAAAATGTAGGTGGAAGAGGAAATACAAATTCCAAATATCTCCAGTGATAAGATGGTTAGGAATAAAGAAATCACTGAGGAGTGCAAATGGTTAACACATTTGGCTGCTAACCAAAAGCCTGTAAGTTTGAATTCACCCAGGGATGCCTTGGAAGAAAACCTGGCGATCTACTTCTGAAAACTTCAATCCTGTGGAGCACAGTTTTAGTCTGACATGCATGGGGTTCCCATGAATCAGAATTGACTGGATAGCAATTGGTAAGTGGTACCTTGCCATGAGCATAGGGATGCACAGGGAGGATACTAGTTATTTCCACATATCATCCCTATAGTCGACTTCTTTATTAGACACTAAAAGAGTTAGTATGTTGGACGAGAATATTGAAAGTGCCATGGGCTGCCAGAAGAACAAATTGGAACATGTTGGAACAAAAAAAAAACATGTTGGAAGAAGCGCAGCCAGAGTTCTTCTTGGAGGCCAGGATGGCCAAAATTTATCTCTCATGCTTGGGACATATTGTCAGGAGGGACCAGTCGGTGGAGAAGGATATCATGTTTGGTAAAGTGGCGGGTCAGAGAAAAAGAGGAAGACCCCCAGTGAGATGGATTGGTGCAGTGGCAACATCAATGGGCTCAAGCGTGGCAACAATTGTGAGGCTGGCACAGGACTGAGCAGGGTTTCGTTCTGTTGTGCATAAGGCTGCTATGAGTCGGTAGCGATTCAATGGCATCTAACAATAATAACATAGGGTTAGTACCTAGGATCTGCAATACTTTTCAAGATGCACAAAAATGTTTAAAATTTTTTTAATCAGAAAAATTAAATGACTATAATATAATGTGGATTGTACCAATGCAGTCATAAAATGAATATAATACAACTTGGATTATACCAATGCAGTTACAATGCTTTTCATGGAGGAGGGGACCCATGAAGCAAAAAGTGCTGACTGCTACTGTGTGCTGTTAAGTTGGTCCCGACTCACAGCCACCCTGTATAGGGTCTCTGTGGAGCAGCTGATAAATATCATTATTACATAAACCATATACATCTGTGTGAACTGAGAATAGTAACACGCATAAAAATAATTGAGGTGTAATAATACATATATAAACAATCTATATAAACGAGGGTGAGTCAAAAAGTATTGCTACAAACATCATAGAAACCTGATTAAACAAAAATAACGAAATGTGCAGCTCTTGTTTCTTGATATATGCTTCATCTGGGTCTATACAATTCTGAAGGTGATGTTTCCATCTCTCTAACCCCTTCCCCTGAATAGTTCTGTGCGCTTCGATTTGTACCATATCAAAACAGTAGTTTGGATATCCTCAAGGGATTCAAATCGTATTCCTTTTCTTTGAGTTTGGGGAATAAAAAAAATTTGAAGGATTGTAGGGTGCATGGGGTAAGATTTCCTAGTGAAATTCTCAGAGAACAGCTCTTGCCACCATCAAGGAATGAGCAGGTCACCAGGTACATCGTGGTGAGGGGAAAAAATTCCTTGACACAATTTTCCTGGCCTTTTTCTCATCAGTGCAGTTTTCCAGATTTTGTAATACCTGTTCCTAATAAGTTCTCGTGATTGTCCTTCAAGAAAATCTATTCAGATTATTCATTTGGAATCCCCAAAAGCCGTTGCTATAACCTTCTGAGCTGACTTCACTGCCTTGAATGCAATTGGCTCAGCAGATCCCCTTGGAAGCCACTGTTTTGAGTGGACCTTGCTGACTCCTACATTCCATAAAATCATTTTCAATAGTTTTGATCTTGCTAAAAAACGGCATATGGACAAATCAACTCTTTGAGTTAGCTGATCTATATGAAACACTTTTGTTTTATTAAGTATCTATTTTTTTGAAGGCACCCTAATGAGACTAACACAAACATATTACTGAAAGACCTTGAGATGATAAGTTATCCATTGATCACAGAGACATGCTTAAACATGTTTTGTTTGAATAAACTAGTACATGTATGGACTGTAACTCTAGTAGCAATATTTTTTATTTGCATATATATATATATAATATAAGGAGTCCTGGTGTGACAGTGTAGAGTCAGCACTGGACTGCTAACCGCAACAAGGTTGGAAGTTCAAACCTACAATTCACTCCTAGGAAACTCTATACAGGGATCGCGATGAGTCAGAACCGACCTGATGACACTTACCAACAAAAGCAATATAAAACATATATGTATATACATAATAAATAATATCATGCTAAAGAGAGAAAAGACTGAAGTTGTCAAAGACTTCATTTTGATTGGACATGCAAACAAATGTCCAAAACAACAACAACATCTTGCTTTAGACAAATCTGCTGCACAAGACCTTTTTTAAGTGTTGAAGAACAAAGATGTCAGCTTGAGGACTAAGGTGCGCCTGACCCAGGCCATGGTATTTTCAATAGCCTCATATGCATGTTAAAGTTGGACAGTGAGTAAGGAAGACTGTTGAAGAATTTATGTACTTGAATTATGGTGTTGGAGAAGAATAATGAAAGTACATGGACTGCCAGAAGAATAAACAAATCTATCTAGGAAGACGTACAGTCAAAATGCTCCTTAGAAGTGAAGATGGCAAGATTTTTCCTCTTGTACTTCAGACATGTTGTCAGGACGGATCAGTCCCTGCAGAAGGACATCATGATTGGTAAAGTGAAGGGTAAGCGAAAAAGAGGAAGCCACTCAATGAGATGGATTGAGAGAGAGTGGCAGCAAAAACAGGCTCAAACATAATAAAACTTGTGAGGATGATGCAGGACCGGGCAGTGTTTCATTCTATGATTCAGACCAACTTAACAATAACTACAAATATATATATATATATATCTACACACACACATATATATGCACATACACATATATATGTCTATATACATATTATATATTATATATATATTATATATATGTCTATATGCATATTATATATATACATATATACATGGAGTCCTGGTGTGGCGCTATGGGCTAATGCATCAGACTGCAAAGTCATTTAAACTTCAAGGTCAGTGGTTCAAGATCACCCATTGCTCCTTGGAAACCCTATACAGGGTCGCTATGGGTCAGAATCGACTCAATGGCAATTAACAACAACAATATATATATACACACACACATATACATGTATATATGTTGTTGTTGTTAAGTGCCATAGAGTCAGTTCTAACTCATAGTGACCCTGTATAGGGTTTCTAAGGAGTGGCTAGTGAGTTTGAACCACCGGCCTTGAGATTCAAACTGGCCTTGCAGTCCAGTGCTTATCCTACAGCATCATACACATATATGGAGTCCTAGTGTAGTGCTGTAGGAAAATGCACTGGACTGCTAACTGCAAGATTTATGGTTCAAACCCACAAGCCACACCTTGACATGTTGTTGTTGTTAAAGGCCGTTGAGTCAGTTCCGACTCATAATAACTCAAAGATCAGCTGTTGGGTTTGAACCATTGACCTTGCAGTTAGCCATCCAGTGCTTTTTCCTACAATGCCACACTGTCGAGTCAGCAGATTTGTCTAATGCAATACTTTGTTTGATTTCCTGACTGCTGCTTCCATGAGTGTTTGTAGTTGATCCAAGCAAAATTAATTCTTTGACAACTTCAATCATTTCTCCATTTATATAGATATTGTTTATTGGTCCAGTGGTGAGGGTGGGTGAGGTATTTTCTCTGAAGGAAAGGGGACCAAATTATACTCTAAATTTGTGGGCGGAGGGGGGAATTAAAATATATATATAGTTATTATTTTGCCCTTCTCACTGATTGATAATGACCTGTGAATACGTCTGCCTTATAATTAAAATAGAAGCCTCTTGGACAGATGATTTTTTATTCATCTTGGTGATCTCAGTACCTACTACAATCTGACATATTGTACATACTTACTAAGTCTTGATTGATGGATTGAACAAATGCCTGTTCTTATACTATGTATTAACACCTTAATCCAAATGCTGAAAGCAAAGACTTGCAAATGTGTCTATAAAAATAAAGAGTATCCCAGCTCACTCCGCAAAGCACACACAGGGAATGATTACGCATGTAGAGGTGCCAATCCCCTGCAGCACTAACTTGTCTCTGGGGGAATTATAAATCTACTTGCTGAGTGGAAAAACTCTCAGTATACATATGCATAACACTCATTGCAAAGGGGTTTGAATGTGAGCAAGATCTGACATGAGAAGAATGATCATCTGAGCCAAATTCCAGATTCTGGTTACTTAATAAGATACATATTTGGTGTGTGGTGTGTGTGTACATG